GCACACAGCTGAATTTTAGTTGCTTAGTACTTAGATAATCAATCACTTGCTCATCCAAACCTGCGTGTTTGCTTTCTCTGATGACAGAAGAATGAGTGATTACAGTTCTGTTCTTTTGGTTCAACAAAAAGCAGCCTATGACAATTTACCAAGCTCTCTGCCAAATAATAATCTGGCATCTACTGATGTGCCTAAAATGTATTAAAGCAGGTTTGGATAAAATAAACAACCTGATCTGGAAACCAAATCGAACAGTATGTGTTATGTTTGTTTTGGGAACTGTGTAAGGTGAAATACTGAGTAGCATGAAACTTTATTTTTGTAGTTCTTTGTCAGAGTGTATTATAAATCATTTCAGGCCCTGAATGTGTTGCAATTAGCCCAGGTTTAGCCATAAATATACTGTAGTAAATATAGTTTAGTTGTCTTTTTTATACTGACTCTTACTGAGTCGTGAATTTCACGTGTTCCTTTGACCAGCTGTTCTTTCTAAATTGTGGTGCAGGTTTTCTGCCACTTTGTCAGAGGACGTGTTTATGATCTGTTTTCTATAAGTGAACTGTGTTCAAATACATGAAGCAGACCTTTTGACATCAAGCTTGTTTATTTCACTTTGAATTTGCCATCCACTATATGCAGTGTTCTTTCAGAAAATAGAAAATACTGTGAACTCGAGCTTTTGTGCAGGGCAGATCTGGCCATATTGATAGCCACTTTGTCTCAGCTTAGGCCAGTGGATGTGCATAGAAAATATACTAGCTATGCAAAAGCTCTGTGCTAAGTTCTTCACATCAGGGAGACTTGGCTGTGACCCTGAAGACTCCAGAATAATACCGGCTGCGTTCAGGCCTCTTTTTCTCAGTGAGGTATTTCAGTTTGTGAGGAAGTTGTTCAGTCAAAAGGAGCATTTGCTTTACCACTGATGCTAGTAAACCCCTGGGTGGTCCTGTGTAGCAGCCACAGCAGGGCAGAACAGGCTGTGATCATCGCTAAGTTGTGGTTCACTCCTTCTTTATTTCTGTCTGTGTATGTATGTAGAAGATTTTTATCATATTCAGCTTTAACTATGTCATGTTGCACTTACATGCAGTATAGAGCAGCATCAGTGGGCAGCCTCACCATCAGTGTTCTATGTCTGCACTGGCTCAATCAATGATTTCCCAGCCCTCGAGTATCTCGTTTCACAGTTCAGGTTTTCCCATATGGGGATCAGAGAGCTCCTCTAGCCTTGTTACATGCTGTTAGCTGCTGAGCTGCCTGGTGATGTGACACTGTTGTTCAGCAAGGCTCGTGTCCCAGTCATCTTTTATTTGTTCAAGGAAGAACAATGTGTTCTCTTCCGTTCAGCTGATTTCCAAAGTGTGTTTTCTATTCTTCTGGATGTTGCAGCTGGTAATTTTTTTACATTTGCCACTCTGACATTTCTCAGCCATTCACAGTGACAGTGGACATACACTGGTTGTGTTTTTCACAGGAAGTGATGTAACCATGAACATGAACTCGCACTGTCAAATACACTCCCAGGGGCACGTTGCATGGCAACCATAAAGTGTCACTGTCAAGAGGATTTGTGAAATGTAACATTATCCAGAGTGGCCAGGGATAACAGAAATAAGGCATGCTGTTTAGCAGAGTGCTGCTGTTTCCTACTTTTCACTATGAGATAATAAAGTGTGTGTATGTGTGTGTGCATCCTGAAATGTCTTTGATAATATTGCTATGAGGGATTTATTGCAAGCTCTACCTGCCTGGTGTTGCTTCTAAGGTAATAACTTGTCAAATTAGTTAGACCAGCCTATTGTGTCTAAGGAATGTCTACATCTGCAAGAATGACTAAATTCAACAAAGTGGAGTGTTTGTGTTTGTATTTTAACCCCATAAACCAGCTTTTCATATTGTTTACCTGCTCTATATTTCTATGGCATTTACTCTGTGCACCAGTCATGTTCTATAAATAGCATGGTAAGATGGTAGTTATAAGCATACCAGTCTGTACTGGTGGACTATATGGGTAATAATTTTAGTGACATTTGTTCATTGGTTTGTCTGTTCACAGCATAACTCCAAAAGTTATGAGTAGATGTGGATGATCTTTTCTTCATATCACATGATCCAGGAACTTTTATAAAAGATTCTTCACCAATATGATGTAGGGCAAATTCAGTATTTTTGCTTTTCCATTTATAGTGCGTACAGTGCTTGGACAAAAAATATTCCCTGTAACATACACACACCAAAGTATGATCTGGATCCAAAAATCCCTGTAACATACACACACCAAACTATGATCTGGATCCAAGTTGTGTTCCAGATGTGCTGATCCAGAATGTGCACATTTATAGGACTCATGGAAAACTTGCCACTGTGAGATGAAAAATAATGCTACGGACTTGCAGCTAAGACCACATTTTAGCTAAAGCTCTGCTGACTCAGAAGGGTGTCAGCAGATTTGACACATCTTCAAAAGTTACTGAGCTATATCTTGAAAAAAGTGGCATTAGTGAAATATAATTTTTCTTGAATAACTTCACTACTAAAAGTATCAGTGATTCCAAATGCTGGGGATAGGTTTTCATGGCCAGCTAATCATATTATGAGGGTCAAACTGTCATGGGAATATAGCTTTTTAGGTGTGATGGCATTATGGGGACAGTGAGCTGCCTTGGCAGAGGTTTGTGCTCTCTGGGTGCTGTCTAGTTTTAATTATAACCACTTTGGTGGTGTTCATACTGGCAGAGAAACTGACGCTCTCCATCTCTGAACTGAATACTCTGTTTTGTTTCCAGCATTGTGCTTTATTTCACACAATACAGTTTACTGAATGTTTGTTGTGTTGCATGAAGATAGAAGTAGAGAAAAGAAAACATCACAGCCATGTCTCCTTTTGTCTGACGTCTGAACATGGCAGTATCTGACAGACAAGAACCAGGATGCTACACTTAGGAACAGTAATGGAGAGATTGGGAAGTGGAAACAGTAGATTAAAAAAAACAACAACAAAAAAACAAATATATATATATATATAGAGAGAGAGAGAGAGAGAGAGAGAGAGAGAGAGAGAGAGTGGTTTGTTTAACAAGCTAATTTGCTTGTAACAGGATTGCTTGCTGATGTTTAGAGGACTTGCATGTTGTTTGGCAGACTAACCTGTGTAGTGGGACCACTTGTCTGAAGAACTGACCTACTGGGTGGCTAACATCAGAAGATACTGGCCACCATAGGAACCCTTTTTCACATTCAATACTAGTCTCTCATGTGAACAAGCCCACAGGGACATCCTCCCCTTATAGTACAGAGACATACAGTGCCTGCTCATGCACCAGTGTGTCTGAATAGGCCTGTGACTGTGTGTGTGTCCGTGTGTGGACTACGAGGCACGTTTGCCATTTTGTCTCAATATGATAGCAGTGTTTTTATTTTTTTCCCCATTAACATCACACCAAGCCAGAGATTTGGCACCTGTGGCTTCCAAGAGAGTGTGGAGTGTGGAGAGACACAAGATAGGAACTGTGTGCATATGTGGTGAGAGAATGTATGGGGAAAGGTCACACAAATAATATGTGACTGTATGTGAAGAGAGAAAGCGCTGGTGGAAAAATACAAGCTTGTGTCTATTCATGTGCAATCTGCTGCTATCTGGCCTCCTGATATTATCCAAGCAGTCTGTCTCAGTATTGCAAATCTGTATTAGGCCATGGTGCGAATTTCAACACTCACTAACTACAGTAGCAATGCTGGCTTACAGAGAAGAGTATTTGCCAATTTTTTACTGAACGATGTTGGTCTCAGTTTGCAGACTAGCATTAGCAATGTTAACTCAGCCAGTTCCCATTTTGAACATGTTAATACATGTATGCATTTCCTGCAGTCCTTCCATTGCTGTTTTATGTAAGTCGGGATAAAAACTTACAGTATATGCTGACAGCCATACAGAATAAGGTACAGGCTAATGCTGCCAATTTCTTTGGTTGTTTACAGACACCTGTTGCAAACTTCCAAGTGGGCAACCATGTTTAAGTGTAGTCCACATTCAAATGAACAAATTAATCAGATTTCCTGGAAGACTTGTTAATCTTTAACTGTTTTGTCTGCCTTGGTCTTTATGCCTCACTCCAACATTTGTATGATGACACAGACCTATATTTGTCTTATAAGTCATTAAAGACTGCCTTTTACCCAGACACTTCCTTATCCACCCACTAAAAGGCAGTTAAAATGTCTGAATGTAGATATAGTGCAAATAACGTAAGACAGTGTTCATTCCCAGTTCAAATCCCAGTTCTCTCTGCCTAAGATTTTTATTATGAAGAGCACTTATGCAAAGAGTTCACTTGCATTGACAGACTATTCTCTCATTCCAAATATGTGGTGCCACGTTCATTTTCACTCTTGATCTCTAAGGAGAATTTAGCATTTTATCAAGTCTATTTCAAATCATTACTTAGAAGCCCATATGTACATTTACAGGGTTATTGATCACTGTTCCACCTGTCCTTTGTGGTCTCTCTGTAAAGTGTTATTAATAATATGATAGGAGACAAAGTCCACAGTCCTTGCTGTGTATAAAAATGTTGCTGTCAGTTTGGAATAAAATGCCCTCTCTCTGCTTCCACACCTCACTGGATCGGTACATACCAAAGTGCATTTGTCCATGCAGTGACATTGATAATGACACGGTAAACATGTCACTGTACTGTATGTTGTAGGCCTTCAAATACATGGATGTGTTCACAAAATTAAAGATCTCGGATTTATTTTAGAACTTGTAGAACACAGTTTGTGCAATTCAGAAACACTGGGGTTTAAATATACCTTGAGTTTGAAATATAATTGATTTTTATTCATTTAAAGGTCAAGTTTTTAAAGTTAGTTATACCAGTTACTTGTATGTTCAAAGCATTTCTCAACACTAAATACTCTTGTTAACAACACTGCAGTACATATTACCGTATATTCGTGATCTCATTGTATCTATGTGTGTCTTTCTCTCCCTTCCACAGGAAAATCGTCATCAAGATTGGAAAGAAGAAAAAGCGAAAGCCAGAGTCTTCAGAGGAGGAGTCAGATGATGACCCTCCCCCTCGACATACATCTAAAGAAGATTCTGTAAGATCCAGTATATACAGTACACCCACTCACAAATGAATACAATCAAACATATAAACATACAGTACAAGTCACTTTTCAAATTAGGACATAAACCCTCAGCTGTGAGACAGCACTTGGATTTTAGATGGGGATTTGCCTAAGTTTGACTGTTTGAATTCCTAGCTTTATTCAGATGTGTTGTTCTTACCTGTGCTGTTATATTTCTGCTGAGAGACAGATAAAGACAAAGGCTGGCTCTGTTTCTGTTAGAATTCTGATACAAGGCAAGTGGTGTTCTCACCCTGACTGTTCTCACCCTGACTGTTCACACCGCTGCTGAGCCTTGAAGAAGGCTTCACACTTTTGAACCTGGGAGGACTTTGGTTCACACAGAGTTCATGTAGTAGGTGGCTGTCAAGTACACATTCTTATGTGTTGATGATGGAGCCTACTGACAGCAGCAAGGCATTATTTAGATGAAAACATCACATGCACATGCACAGACCTAAATGTAATGCAAATGGCAAGTTAAATTGGTTGTTCTGCATTTATTTAAATCTTTTCATTTGAACAGAAATGTTGTTGCTAAAGCAGACAACCTCAATTTGTTGAGGTTGTTTGACAAAATAACACTTGGCAAAATTCAATTATTGCATTTTTTTTCTTCAAAGCTAGAGTAGTTCTAGAAACTTAATATTTTCCACTAAACATATGATACTGCTTTGGAAAATTAATAAATGAAGGCACACACACACACACACAAACAAGCAGAGGACATCAGTTTGCCAATTTTTATTAAATCCTTTAACATGCACACAAATATGAGCTGAATATTAGACTACCTCACTTTGAAACAAATAACAGTTGAAAACAAGGTAAATATTACCAGGATATGATAGGCAATATTTAACATATTTTTTTTATGTAAGTATTAAAAAGGGTTATTGAAATTTACAAGTGAAATATCAGGGTATAAATATATTTCTGTTACATAAACTAATGACATGCTTGATAATTAAAGATACATTATGTGTGGGATCACTTCACTGTAGACAGCCATGTCGAACTGTGTTAAGGTTGTGAAAAAGTCAAGTTTGTTGTGACTTTATTGAGCTGTAGAGCCTGTTGGGCCAATACAACTTCAAGTTCAAAAACAAGCAAATACCTCATATTCATATTCACTCGTATCCATTCATAGTTGACCATACCTGGTATTGACCACAACTCCGATGTCATGGGTTTTTTTTCTGCCATTTAATAAGAATGAATAATATAATCTGACCTATTATAATGTCTGAGTCATCTGTTCCTGTGTTATTTTGTTCAGTGCTGTCATGACAAAAATCTGCCCTGGTAAGTGACTCGTCTGAATGAGCAGGGATGATGGGACTTTGTCTGCTCTGTCACCCCCACCTCTCTTTTTTACATCCTACTGGATCCGGACGATTGCCTATGATCTAATTATGCTTGTTAAAAGGCGCCCCTGGTCTTAATTAAAACAGTATGTTGATGACTCCTTTAGGATGATCCTGTGGAAAAAGTCAAAGTAGCGTGGCTGACAGCTAGAAAAGAAGCATGACCTCCTCGGCCCTATTGTCTTGGCATGTGGCAGGTCGGACTTTCCAACTTTTGGTCAGCTACGGTCTGGGGATGTGGGGGTGTATCTCCATGGAGACATACTCCACACCTAATTAACTGTGACTTAGTGGAATTTATTCCTAATTAACTACACATTATCATTAGGAGGGGCTCGTGTATTGATGCAGGACACAGTGGCTCATGCGTATGATAATTGTAAAGGCTAGACAGGAAGGAATAGGATGAAGCTTGAGTTTAAAACCTTTGTTTTCTGACTTCATAGCATAATATTTTTCTGAATTTCTCACATGCTTTTATTTTCATTAAACAAAGTTCTGTTTGTTCATGATCTTTGGGACGAGAAAACACATATGATCATTTTCAGTATGAGTTAGTGTGAATTGTAAATGTTTAGTCAATTAGGTTTTCATCCATTACCAAGGAATATGAAATGTGGAACAGCAACATAATTGAGCTAAACTAAACAGGAAGTAGTATCACATTTAAGCTCAGTGCTTTAATATTAAATCAGGCATGAATTATGATTTAAAGAAGCAGTGTGTAGTGTGTGGCTTATGCAAGCACGTTGGCTGAGAACACTCGTGCAGTATTCTGCACAAGTTTTAAGTTCTAAAAGTAAAGTGAGCATGATTTCAAATGTAATGCCATGAATTTCATTTGATATCATAATACATTGTCTGGGAGCCAGACAATGTATTATAGGACTCTTTCATTCTGACTCTGGTTGTATGTTTGGGCTCATTGTCGTGCTGCAGAAAAAAATGTGAGACTGATCAGATGCCTGTACATGATGGATTCAGTTCAATTCAATTCAGTTTTGTTTGTGCACAGCAACAATCATCTTAGGGTACTTTACATAGTAGAGTCTAGACCTTACAGTATTAACAGGAAAAAACAAAACAAATCCCCCTTGAGCAGCACTTGGCAACAGCAGGGAGGAAGAACTACCTTTAACGGAAGAAACCTCAAATTGATCCCGGCTCTTGGTGGGCAGCCTTCTGCCTCGAACAGTTGGGGTGAGAGGAGAGAGGAGAGAGAAAAGAAGAGCATCAAAACACACTAAACAAAACAAACAAACAAGCACTAGGCAGGCTGATGTGGCCGGTGACAGCTCATCAGAAACATGGAGCTCCAGAGCCAGGGCTACCTGCAGAAAGGTACAGGGAGAGAGAGAGAGGACAAACTATGGGAGAGAGGAGACAAAATTAACAACATTCAATGGTGGCATATACTGTAATTGCATGAAGAGTGAGGAGAGGAGAGGGGAAGAGCTCAAAGCATTATGGGAAGACCCCCAGCAGTGTAGGACTATAGCAGCATAACTAAGGGAAGGCTACACTTTAGATACACTTGGTCATAAAGGAAAGTTTTAAGCCTAATCTTCGAAGTAGGGAGGGTGTCTGCCTCCTGAACTGAGACTGGGAGCTGGTTCCATAGGAGAGGACCTTGATAGCTAAAGACTCTGCCTCCCATTCTACTTCTGTAGACTCTATAAGCCAAAAGCAGACCTGCACTCTTCTGAGAGTGAAATACTCTGTTGGATAAGAATCTAAACGTCCAGTGGGCCTACAACTCGTGCACAGTACTGTGGGGTGTATATTGCTGCATAAGATGCAGCAAGTACAAGTGTTCAGTTTATGTTTAAGATGATCATCAGTCAGCAGTGTCCACATCTTTTCAGTCGAGATCAAACCTGGCCCAACTTTGAATTTACCAAGTTGAGCCATTTAGGACATTGGCAGTTTAGGAAATATAAAATAATGGGCTGAGTTATTCTTGACAAGTAGCTGGTAAGTTTATATTTTTTTCCATAATCACCTGTGAAAGGTAACTATACTGTGTTAGTCTGTGAAAGTCACTACTTAACTAAGAATTTAAGACATTTAAACCTGTTTTTATGCTTCCGTGCCGGCGATAGCTGCGGCCAGACGCATTATGTTTTCGGGTTGTATCTATGTTTATATGTCCATACAGCCTATTCTTGTGAATGCGATATCTCAGGAACCTTGAGGGAATTTCTTCAAATGTGGCTCAAGTGTCCACTGGGACTCAAAGATTAGCTGATTAGATTTTGGTGGTCAAAGGTCAATGACATCACTTCTGTCTCATACCCATGAATTTGACTGGTTGGCAGAGGCATACGACCACGAAGCAGTAATTCTAGTCTTTATAATTCATTGATGGGATGTTGTTGATGAGACGGAGGCTGCTCAGCTGAGATGAGCTGAGGAGCTGTGCTCCAGCCAGTTGTTGTGAATCCATGATCTGACACCAGGTTCACGTGTTATATATAGGTGCACAAAATTGATGCAGCTCATGAACCATGATTAATAAATAAAAACACCCTGCACATATCCTAGTCATGCTACAGGTGTTATTGTCAGCAGGTAAAGTCAGTTTGTACTTTGCTCTCACTCACTTCAAGCTCTTGTCAGGGAGCGGACATGGCATGATCTACTTTAGGGGTGTGTGATATACCATTATAGATGTTTCTTTGGGCCATATGTAAGGAACTATTTCAATTTGTGATTGAAGGTACAGAGGTTACTTAAAATGAACCCCAAAATGTTTTTTTCCCCCATACACCTTTCTCATTATGTAGAGAAAAAGTATCTTGTGAAAACAAGTAAATTTTTGTCATTCAAATGAGAAAACTTTCTAATTATAATGAGATGATGGCAACAATGCGTTACCATAGATAACAAATAATAAGTAACTAAAGTTATTGTTTCAGTTGAGAAATGGATGTATGAAGTAATCCAGATCATTTGAATATTTTTATAAATGTGTTTCTCCCTCCTTGTCTTGCTTTTCTAGAAGAGGCGTTCTAATCGGCAGGTGAAGAGGAAGAAGTATGCTGAAGAGCTGGAGGCAAGGTTGTCAGATGAAGAAGTCAAGGTTATTGTCAAAGCCAAGAAAACCAACACTGCAGCATCCAAGGAACCTGCTCTTCAGCTCTTTGTAGTATGTAGTTCTGCCTAAAACTCTCATGTAGCTAAGAAGTCAACTTTAAATTCACTTTTTTTTTATTATTAATGGAGAAGGACAGCACAATAGAGGTAAATGTATGAGTCCTGCAAGAGTAATTTTGGCATATGAAAGGCAATCCATAAAAGAATGCTTTTTTTTGGCAATGATGTGTATAGGTATTGCTGAAAAGAAAAAGAATATATACTGTTTATATATATATATACACACATATACTGAATAGTGAGAACACATACTAGAGAAGAACAACGGGACTACAGGGGGATGCACCACAGCCTGTTCTTTTCACTGCCACTTTGTGTTGTACAAACCAGGACTCCTGCAGTATGCCTGTACAAAGAGGGAGGATACATATGTAAGACATACTGTAGGACAGTGACCATGAGATCCTTGATTAAGATAAGAAAGAAAACCCACAGAAAAACATAAAGTTAAAAAAAGTAGAAAAACTCAGGAAAGGTATTTCTTATTTTGATATGGGTTTTATTATTACACAATTTTTTATTACACACTGTGGTGTGTGGTGTTCACATTGCAAAGTGTCCTTAGGCTTGTGCAAGTGTATGCTTTGTTTGCTATGCTATGTTTCTTGCATTTTCAGGAGAATCCCAGTGAAGAGGATGCTGCAGTTGTGGACAAAATCATGTCTTCCCGTATTGTTAAGAAGGAGGTAATAATGATTTGCTGATGTTCCTTTTTTTCTGCTGCACAATCAGGATAAATGTTGTTATTGCAATTAGTTTTCTGCATAGTGGGATCTGAAGTATGTATCACCATAACTAAGGCTTTTAGCATAAGATTGTTGCACTTGATATTTGTGTATTTTACCAAGTACTTCAACACGTGTGCAACTTTGGTTCTAAATAAAATTGCTTTATAATATAACATACATTTGATTAGTGAAAAAAGAACTCTGGTCTCTGATTATATATTTGTCTGTTATTTTAAACCTCTCTATAGGTCTCTCCAGGAGTGGTGGTCGAAGTAGAGGAGTTTTTTGTAAAATACAAAAACTAGTAAGTTCATTGTTCAGTTGTACAGTACAAACATCTGCCGACTGAAATCATCCAAGTTCCCACTTTAAATGATATTTGGGGTTTATACTGTAGATGCTTATAAACAGATATCAGACAACAGTGTTTATAGATACTGTTCCCATTGCATCTGCTGCTTACAGTATATTCTAACAAAAACTAGAAAAATTGTTGACAAAAATGACATTAAAAAGTAGCACCATTTGATCACAGAAGCATACAAGCATCTCAGGTGTCCTTAGGACAGCTTTCAATATTGCCATGTATGTTATCACCAAATTCTGCAAAAGTTATTTCATTTCTCCTCTATGGCCTCATTGATATTATTAGAAATTCTAGCTCCTTCCTACAGCAACATGACCGTTCTGAGAGTTTTGAAATTAGGATTTATGAACCATGGCTTTACTACCCCAGCCTCCCAGAGAAATCATTTATTTTCACATGACAGATGATCTGTCATAAGCCAGATCGTGTTCATTATGTGTTTGGACTTGTGATGAAAAGGATGGAAATGTGAATGTCACTAAACATGACTGAGGAGCTCAGCGGCTTTCTGAACCACATTTCCATTAAAGACTCTGTGACCACACCTGCTGGCCTCAGCAGTTGCTCCAGATGCTGTTTAGAAGGTGATTTTTAAGGTTACTCACCTTATTTTGTGTGTGTGTGTGTGTGTGTGTGTGCTTGTACTTGCGCATGTGTGTGTGTACACCGGTGTCAGCTCCTACCTACACTGTGAGTGGGCCACAGAACAGCAGCTGGAGAAAGACAAAAGGATTCAACAGAAGATCAAACGATTCAAGATGAAGCAAGCACAGAGGGCACTCTTCTTTGCAGATGTAAGACTGTGTGACTGTGTGTGTCGACACATATTGTGCATACTGTGTTTGTGTATATTTGGGCATTTGGAATGAGAAGCTGTGTTTTCACATCTTTTAGAATGTGTGCGTGTTTAGTGTACATGCATGTAAATATTGTGTGTGCATGTGCATGTGCATGTTTAATATACTTTTTGTGATTTGTATGTCTGGGCAGGCACATCTGTGTGCATATATTTGAATTTACTCGCTCAGTTGATACAGTAGTGATGCATGTCTCAGATTCCAGATGGCGAGTGGGCACTGAGGTTTACTCTTTCCTTCTCTCTCCCTCTCTCCCTCTCTCTCTCCCTCCCTCCCTCCTCATGTCTTTCCTTCTGTCAGATGGAAGAGGAGCCCTTTAACCCTGACTATGTAGAGGTAGACAGAGTGCTGGAGGTGTCGTATTGTGAGGACAAAGACACAGGAGAGGTAAAGTGAATCTTTTTCATTTAGTAATCTTAACCATGAGTAGGGTGGGATATTCGTTCAATTTTATTGATTCCAGTTCTGCTTATCAAGCCCGGTTCTTATCGATTCCCTATTCCGATTCCAATATTTGTGGAGGAAAAAACAAACAAACAAACATTTCAAGAACAAAAACAAGCCTTCCTTTATTCTTATTCTTGACACATTAAGGCTATAGTCAGTAAACTGTCAAATGTGACACAAAGGTTTCTGTTTCCCTTCATTCATGAAAATTTTGATTACTTATTCTTATAAGGAATGATAATCACGATCATGAATTATGAACTAAAACCATTTAAATAAACAATAGAAAAAAATTCAAATGAATGGACAGATTATCCCTATGAGAGAGTTGGGATTTACGGTCTTGGATATTTTAGTTTATTAAGCTACACCTAACACAAAGTACTGTAGGCCTAACCACAGTTTACTGTAGACTATAATATTAGTTCTTCTGTCAGTCTTTTCTGATGTGCTAACAGAAAAATACCATAGAAGGCCAAAGTCCATGGATATTACTATAACTGGAAATCAATAACACACTTCTCCTACCTAAACAGAGGAGTTGAGTTTCTGTGCTTAGGGGGGGTGAAGCATTGGTGAAGGGGTGCTCTCTGTACTTGTACCTGATTTAAATATATATTAAAATAATTTGTCTATCATTTATCTTAAATATAAAAGGAGAATGTCAGCTCATCTGTGTTTTGAGGCTTATTTGGTTGTTCAGCTGGACTGTAACGCTCATTGCAGTTCACTCAGGAGCACGATTGAAATATGGAACAGTTAGGAACTGAAATTCAGAATCAAAGCGCACGTCTTAGCAAATCCACGGGTCTTGGAAATTTGGAGCTGGATCCAACTCGGAACTGGTTCTCAATATCCCGTCCTATCCATGAGTAGCATGTAAGTTTATTTGTGTCGATGTGCCTGAACATGTTTTACTCTATTTCAGCTTTTTGTGGTTTTTGTTCTGTTCAGTATATTCTCCACTCAGGCAATGTCTTTGTATAACAGAAGTGCTCAAGGCCATCCAAATGGGCTTTCTTGCAGCCTTGGTTAATATTATAAAAGCACCCGACCTCGCTCGAGGCTTTTCCGCTGCTGATTCTCCTCTGTCTGCTACAGGAGGTGGTGTACTACCTGGTGAAGTGGTGCTCTTTGCCTTATGAGGACAGCACCTGGGAGCTGAAGGATGACGTAGACCAGAGCAAGATTGAAGAGTTTGAGCAGCTGCAGGCAGTGAAGCCAGACTCGCGCAGGGCGGTAAGCCATGGCTGTCGCTGCATTTCCATTTTCCTCTACATCCACCAAACATGCTGTTTGGTGAAATTAATAGAGACCATTAGCCAAACATTAAACCTGCATAAAATAGAACACACTCACACAGGAAACACAAATACCTGCCGTCAGTCCCTTCAAGAGCACGGAAGAATTTTTCTGCATTAAAATAAGAGATATTAAGTTTTTTTTTTTTTTAATCAGGAGCTATTTCTTAGTGAAGACCTGTAGTAACAGGCAATATTAAATATCTAACATCTGGGGGCGACTGTGGTTCTGTGAGTAAAGCAGACGTCTCCCAACCGGAGGATTGGAGGTTTGAATCAAGGTGCAGTCCACATTTCGAAGTGTCCTTGGGCAAGACACTGAACCCCCAAGTTGCCCCCCGATGGTTAGAGCCATCGGTTGAGTTGGCTCCGCAGATGGCTGCCTCAGTTCTGTACTGGAAACAAATTCCTTGTGTGTGTAACATGCTTGGCCAAATAAAGGTGATTAGATGTTAGATTAGATGCAATATTAAAGCCTAATGTTTAATAGAAGGGGAAAAAAAACAAAAAACTAATGGGCCTTGTTTCCAGCTGTAGCCTATAGATCAGGCTTACTCAAATACAAGTCATAGAAGTCCAGTTGCAAAATTTCCAGTGTAAAAGGATGGATAGACCAGGCCTTGTTTAAATTAAAAACTCTAGGACTGTGATCACAAAACATACAGTGCTTCTGTAATATGCTGTGTTGTGTAACCAAATTCTTAAACTTAGATACAAATGGTGTGATGGCCATATGGACATGCTTATGTCAGATGTTAGAGGGTTTGCTGCTGTTTTTCATTTTCACTTTGTTCATAACTGAAAATGCTCATGTACTGCCCAGTCTTGTTGTGTCCTTTTACAGTTATTGTGCTGATAACTCAATATGATGCTTTCAGTCTGATTTAGTTTTGTGGTTCTTTTGTATTCCTTTGTACTATGAAGACCATTTGATTGTTTCATAGAACATTTTATACATTAGTTTCATGCATCGAGTATTTCTAGTATCTAGTTTTCACCTTCATCATCTCTTTTCTGTGTATGGATAGTTTTGAACGTCATCTTTCACTTTTTCAACCTGAGCTACAGCCATGAACAAGATTATATACAAGTTTTTATTTTTCCCCATTCCATATTCCCCTCCCTGTCCATCTGAATAGTTCACACTTCACAAACCTGTTGCTATAACTGTAGGTTCCTATTTCCCAGTAATGATATAAATGCATATGCATCTATTTTATGATAGAAGCACTTCTAAACAAGTTTTAGGCAAATTTTCAGTATAGTGTTGTTTTGTTTTTTTGTTTTGTAACTGCTCACTGGTACTCTTTTGTGATTCTACATTGGCTATTGTTGCCTATCATTAAATGTAGGAAAAGGAATGTTATCTAAAATATAAATGTAGTTTATTTCAAAACACCCATTTTAACTCTTTTATATCAAATTTTTCATTTAGGAGCGACCCCCAGCAAATCTGTGGAAGAAGAAGGAGCATTCGAGGGAGTATAGGAACGGTAACAGCCTCAGGGACTACCAGCTAGAAGGAGTCAACTGGCTCCTCTTCAATTGGTACAACAGGTCAGTTATAAGTATTGTTTATGCACCTTGGCCACCTGAACAGGGCACTTTGAAATTGCAAGTAACATAAATCTTATTTTAGACTTATCACAGAACCCCGCACATCATATCAAGCGTAGGGTCGCTAGTTGTTGTTCTGTAACCCCATTCAGTGCCAGTGTTCTGTAAACACAGCCATACGTGACTGAACAGACTGAGCAAGTCAAGATCAAACGTGTATAAGAAGAAAACTGATAAAATAACACAATCAGATTGGTCCAAATCACAACCGGAATTGGTGCACTGTGAAACTTTAAAAGTGTGCCTTGGGACAAACATGATTCAGTAGCTTCAGCACATTTTTCCAGTGGAAGGTCAAATCAGACAAAATGTTAAGTATGTCTCTCTGTTTGCTTCTGAAGCTTCAGTAATCCCATGTTGCTAGAATAGTGCAGTATATTTATTGATTCAGAGATTTTACATACGCATTTTGAATTTCAAGAGGAATCTTCTCTTGGGGGCTGCAGATAATGAATCACTTTTCTGTGTGTGTGTGTGTGTGTGTGTGTGTGTGTAGACCATGCAGTATTCACATTATTTGGTAGAGCCTGCAAGGAGAGTCAAATTTCCTGTCAAGGTGTACACTGCTGCAACAACAATTGCTTTTCTTCGCCCACAACCACAAAAGAAGCACTGCACAGTACATCTGGAGTACACAGTGTCAGTGTGCTTGCATTAACCCTGGGAATTGGCTTTGTTATGTGTGAGCACGCAGCAGTTTGTGTATACCTACGCAGAGAGATTCATCAAAAGTAGAGAGCTCCTTAAGAGGCCACTGGCAATATCTGCACTTTGCAATTAGCATCAAGACATAATACCCCCACCCACTGGACAGCTGAATAAATGGTTTGCCGGAGTACACCACGCAGCACCGGCAGTTGCATCTGTCATTATTTGGTATCTGTTTGCTCTGTTATTACCGCTGATGATGTTGTTTTCTGTTTATTCTTTTAGTATCAGGGGATTTTTGTTTTCCTTGTTTCACCACACAATTTTTTGTGTACTTGAAACCAGTTTGAGATTTGTTATATGCAACAGAAATTCTCATGATAAATACACACCCACACCACTTGGTGACATAATGCCACTTGCAGCAACATAGTCACATCCCCACACACAGTGTATGGTGTACATTCCAGGGAATATAATCTTTACATTTTCAAAGAGGTGACGTCGATTTTTAAAGGTCCTTCACCTTTTTCTTACTCTTGGCTTCAGTTTCTTTTATTCTGCCACAATTGTGTGTCTCCTTCCTGTGCTCTAACTTTGGCCATTTCCACCTGTCAGACGGAACTGTATCCTGGCAGACGAGATGGGCCTGGGGAAGACCATCCAGTCCATCACATTCCTAGAAGAGATCCATTGTGTGGGCATTAAAGGGCCATTCCTTATAATTGCCCCACTCTCTACAATTGCCAACTGGGAGCGCGAGTTCCATACTTGGACCCACCTCAATGTCATTGTCTACCATGGAAGCATGGTCAGCAGGCAGATGCTCCAGCAGTATGAGATGTATTTCAGGGACGCACAGGTAAATGGCAAGGTTTCATCTCAAGGCTGAAAACACATGTCCCTTTGTAACCTGTGAATTTCTTTCTGTTTTATTGCATCATATAGTATATATCTACAGTTAAGAGCTTATTTCATTCTATGTAAGAGGAAAATGTGTTTCCCCAGTAGTGAAGTAAACTATAGTGTTTACCTATACATTCCTATTAATTGCAGATGTAGTGATAGCAGTGCTTCTTTTGCCGTTGTAGGTTTTAAAACATAGGTTTGTGGTTTAACGCCTCAGTAGTTTTGGTGTGGAAAAAAGCCTTTAGAAGAAAACCAAAAGCTTCTGTGGATACACAGTTGAGTATACATCTTATTTTACATATCTAGCATACTGTAGGTAGAATCGAGAAGGTTGAGAAGCCTTTTGGTTCATCCTAACAGGCTTAGCTGTTCCCTTTTTAAAGGTGGACAAGCAGAAAGCAAGATCGCTGTGCTTACCTTTAGAGTGGAAAGCAGTGTTTCACTTTGATTAAAATAATCAGTGTTTTTTAAGAAACAGCAGCACTGTGTCAGCAGCATGAAGCCCTGTGAGTAATCTAATAATATGTTTCAAAACAGGAGGCCTGCATGCAACTGTGGGAGTCGGATATAGAAAGGCCAGGCAGAACGTGATTACTGTGTGTAACACAAAGTCCAGATACACTGGGACACTAACGCAGCAAACTTTGTTACCACAGTGTTTCATCAGCACAATAAGCACTAGTAGAAACAGAAAACCAGACAGCAGTTGAAGGATGGTGAATATAGTGTGATGATCCAGGCAAGAGATTTCTTTTGACAGAAGGGTCTTTGTTGGTGCTATTTATGAAACCGTAACTCTATGACTAAGATTTTGGAAATCTGAGCTTACTTTTTCTGTCATGTTACACGCTTTTTAAATAATGCTACACATTTAGAAGGGTGAAGCAAAAGGGTCAGATGTTGAAATCAAATTTAATATTCTATATGACGCCCATTACACAAGGGAGCTATTTTATTCACAAGGGGTTCATAGTTCTAAGATAGCATATAACAAGGCTGAAAGACAGCCATGTGCTAGTAGGTGGTTAGTGAGCACTGAGTGGAGGCTTTCTGTGGCATGTGATGTGTCACAACAGGCAGTAAGGAGCTCTTAGTATTCAGATCAACTGTAGGAGGAATTAAGACAAGCGAGAGTGGAACAGAGCAGAGCCGCCACTAGGCTGTCTCCCAGGCAGCCTGTGATGTCATAGCAGCCCCCAAGGGCAGCACTGCTCAGGCATATCAGAGAGAGGTGCTTCTCCACAGAAGTCTATTAGCTGACTGACTGTGGGAGGCGGTTACTGTATAACTGAGTATCCCTAGAGGACTGTTGTCAAGGCAATAGATACAAATGGAGAGGCGGGGTGAAGCAAAGCCACCCCAGATAACCAAATAAACAAACAGCATAAAGACTCAGTAACATGTGGATACTCATGTCCTGGTTGACCTGTAGATTGCTTTCCAACCAAGTGGTGTGTTTTTTTTTTTTTAATAAAGTAGGCCATGTGCTTTGTCAACAGCATAAGGCTGCAAATTAGTAGGCTTCTAATGTTAGTAGGTAAAACAGTTCAAAGTGTGCAATAGAGAATTACACTATGTATGTGAATTATGCATGTGGTCACAGCATTTTCTTTGTACTCACATATGTAATAGTTACATACTCCTTATATTCTCTCAGAATTTCTTTTTAATAACAGTACCTGCTCTCCATTATAAAAATGTACAAAACTGATTAATACATTCATAAAGCAAATGCGTGTTTGCCATTCCTCTACAGATAATTTTTTTTTTTACGTCTCCGAAAATGTGAATTGTTTCATAAATCCTTTATAAACCGGTTTAATGTTTGTCCCACGTGGCTTCACATTTTGGCTTCAGGGCCGTGTGATTCGAGGCGCCTACAGGTTCCAGGCTGTTATCACCACGTTTGAGATGATCCTGGGAGGCTGTCCTGAACTTAATGCCATAGAGTGGCGCTGTGTTATCATTGATGAAGCCCACCGCCTCAAGAACAAGAACTGCAAGCTGCTAGAGGGCTTCAAGCTCATGAACCTGGTACATAAACCATTAGCTGAGAAAGTTTCACTTTTGCAGTTTAAAACTTGACTTGAAATCAGTTCTCAAAATATTGTGTCCAGCTCTTTCTGTTGTTTTCTGTGGTATATGCTCTAATCAGGTAGGAAGGACATTTAATAAAGTGTCCTATAGCATCAATAATAAAGCGGAATTTCAAAGAGTGTGGTGCAGGAGGGGTTTTGATAAACCTGACTCATTGTAAATACTGTAACATTGTCCCTTTGTGCCTCTTTTAGGAGCACAAGGTCTTGCTGACAGGTACTCCTCTCCAGAATACTGTGGAGGAGCTTTTTAGTCTGCTCCACTTCTTGGAGCCTGGACGCTTTGCCTCAGAAAACGCCTTCATGCAGGAGTTTGGAGACCTCAAGACTGAGGAGCAGGTGAGCTTGCTGATACATCAAGAATGTGTGAATTTTCAGACTCAGTGATATATAAGAAACATCACAGTGAACATGTAGTATATGAAAAGACAGAAATACACAACACATAGTCAGACAACCATTTTTGGCACCTCGAATCTGTTACAAGGAAATGCCATTTTTAGTGCTATATTATCTTAAAGGACAGTCAAGTTATTGCCTCTTAGAGCTCCGTAACACACACACACTCAGATATAAAGTTCCTGTTGATACAGATGGAACCCTGGAAGTGGGGCTTTTTCTAACTAGGCCACACACACACACCCAACATATGGTGGATAATAATAACAGATAATGGAGTATTATGCTATTTGTGCTGTATGTATTGACACAGTTGCTCACATGCACACAGCTTTCCTTCAAAATGTTATTTGGCATTTCATTTTTAGGATGGTACCAGTAAAAAGATGCTTGATAAAAGACCATAAAAACGTGTTTGAAGTGTGGGATTCTTCCTAAAAGTTAAAATATTTAGACAGCTACAGTTTAGCACTGAATACTAAAAGTAGAAGCTCTTAGTGCCAGTGGGAATATGAACTCCTCTCCATAGTAAAGGTTGCTGGTGCTGTTACAGTAGGAGGTACTTTATCAAACTGATAAAACATGTAGGTAATAAGGGACATGACTGGGGAAAACTGGCCCACTGCTGGAGTCTGGTACTAAGTAAGCTGTGATGTTGTACCGTTGCACAATCTTATGGTTTGGGGGGGAAAGTATTTAAGTTGGGATTAGTATGGCATCCGGTGACTCCTGCTTCGATTGAAGGCCAGATGTGTTACTATGGATATGCTTTACTCCAAAAGTTAATATTTTATGTGACCTGAGTGGTGGAGGTGTCAATGAAGCATGTCTTAATGTTGAAAATATAAATGATGATTTAAAGGCGACTGCTAGTCAGTTAAACTTGATGCTAGCTAGCATCACAGTCATTATTTAATGTACATAAGGTTTGCATGATTTTACACATTTCTGCATGTGATGAAACCTTTATGAACTGGTGAGAGGCAAGTGAAATGCATTAGGTTTGGAATACAGCTATTGAGTACAATAAACAATTTTCAACTTGAGAATGGGAAACAAATAAGATAAATTGCAATGACATTTATAACATTCCAAGTTTTAGTTTCAGTCAGAACCATAGACTGTACAGTCTATGGTCAGAACCAGTACAAATGTAGAATGTGCAATCCCACCAGCATACAACTAACTCTTTTGATATTTGTGGTCCACAGGTGCAGAAGCTACAGGGTATCCTGAAGCCCATGATGCTACGTCGATTGAAGGAGGATGTGGAGAAGAAGTTGGCTCCTAAAGAGGAAACCATCATCGAGGTTGAGCTCACCAATATTCAGAAGAAATACTACCGTGCAATCTTAGAGAAAAACTTCTCTTTCCTGGCTAAAGGTGCTGGCCAGGCAAATATGCCCAACCTGGTCAACACCATGATGGAGTTGAGAAAGTGCTGCAACCACCCCTACCTCATCAAAGGTAGGATAGTACCTTGCTAAGGTTAAATGCCTTGCCTAAATACAGGCTGACACAGTTAGATATAATTGAAAAGTATATAGTTGTGATCATGGTAGGCATAGCTGCAGTAAGTCTGCAATTTCCACAGTTTCCCATTGAGTCTTCTGGAGGTGTTGTGGGCTCAATTTAGCAGATTTAGGCTATTTCACAGGAACTCTGAAGTGTCATGAACCATAGTGTCACCATTAGAAAATTCAGAGTTCCTTTATAAAGCATATTTTCTGAGAATTATATGCCATACGGTCTATTTTGCACAGGCAAATTAACAGTCAAAGATTGGGCAAGCATTAGTGAAGCAGATGAGCTTCTAAAGTTCTTTGTCTACTTTTACAGTCAACAAAAAGTTTCTGCTGCTTGAGAAAATGCATCCATAGAGCTTTGATCTTCATGAATGGTCACTGGGCGTTAAGGGAAATAGAATCTTGTTTGTGTGGGGAAAAGAAAATATGAGAAACATATTTCTGAACTATCCATATTTTTGCTATAACAGGGGCAGAAGAGAAGATTCTAGAAGATTTCAGGGACGTATATAGTCCCACTGCAGTCGACTTTCACCTGCAGGCTATGGTGCAGTCTGCTGGGAAACTGGTCCTTATTGACAAACTGCTGCCTAAGATGAAGGCCGGAGGGCACAAAGTGCTCATCTTCTCCCAAATGGTGCGTTGCCTGGACATCTTGGAAGACTACCTCATTCAGAGAAGGTAATGAAGGTTGATTTATTACTTAATGGCCAAGCTTAAGAACTCTAATTCAAGTTTGTAAAAGTTTTATTTATATTTTCAGTCTCCTGAATATGTCATACAATAAAATAACTGTCATGAAAAAGCCAGCTGCAGTATCGATACATCATATTAAATATTGTACAAATCATGAAATGCAGAAATGAATTCAGTTGTGGAAAAACAATGGAATTTTGAAATTCCAAAATACATTTATACACCACTCACTAAATGGGTGGAATCTTTTGTTGCCATTTTTCAGAATCCATGGAGGAAGGAAAACGGACATGTCTACAAGCTTTGTAACAGTTTGATGTATATAGTCTCTCTTACTCTCTGACTTTATTAATTTAGTTATGATTCAAATGAAGAACAAATCTTATACACATTATAGACCAGTTTTAGTACAGTATAATGGGAACATGTGGAAAATTATCTGACTCATGGCTTCAAATGGTGAGGAACAGTACACCTCTGTTTCTGTGGTGGTGTGTTTTAGTTTGGAATACTGTGCATGATAGCCAGTGGCCAGTGAGGGAGTTGGCAGAAGCCTTAGAAAGCAGAGGTATAGAGTCTGGTGTTTCGTCCCAGCAAGAGTCTTTGGATGCTTGATAATTGTCTAAGCAGTTGCTCCTGTGGGGTAATGGAGTAGTATTTCCTTCTGTCTCCTTTCACTGCCTTTGTATTGTTCTGCATGTCCAGATATTTAAATACAGTATAGTTAACAAAAGAAATTCTCCCACGTTTTTACAGATGCTTTTTTAACTTTTACTTCATCATTTTAAGTCTGTAATATCGGAGCTCCACACTGTGGTGTAAGTTTTCAAGTTCAAATTGTGATAGATTGTGATAGAGTTGTTACACACTTCACAAAATAAATCACAGGATGTCAGGTATTTATTTAGGCATAGTCTTTTTTGTGTGTGCTATGCTAAATGACTTTTTATTTTTAGATCTGCAATGGGAGTAAATTAAAATGAAATGAAAGTAAGTCCCTGTCTCCCCACCCACAGAGCACAGGGGCAGCTGCTCAGGATGATGGAGGATGATTTGGACTTGAACTTATCATGGACATAAAGGTTCTGTGTACAGCCAAAGGCTCTGTCAGAGCACTGCTTCGGAAACCAAACTTTAGAATTGAATGTCATTTAGGCATATTTGAATTACAGGACCTTTGGTCTCGGGTCCTCATCATTGCCTTTATTTTTATTCTCACATCTGCCAAGACTCTTTTCTTTTTACTTGTCTTTTTGGGGCATTTGTCTCCCTTCATCCTTTTGTTGGCTTTCTTCTGGCTCTCCACCAGCACCTGGTCCAAATGCCAAACTACTGTACACATGGGAGTAGCTGCACAACACAGTCAGAGTTCAGCAGCCGGTTACAGAAGCCCTCAGGGCTCTTCCACATTATACAAGCGTTTCTGAGAGGTTTCTCCTGACTGAAAATGAATTACCCTAGGGAGGGCAGGGGGTTGGATAGGATGGGGTGAGAATGGACATAAGAATGAAAGACCATAACTGCTCCTTGTAAAAACTGTTTTATCTTTGAGGATGCCGTCTCCCATGTGTAGAAGTGAAAGAAAAAAGACTGGGAAAATTTAAAGGCCCCATTGTACTGTGGCTGTGTTGGAGTTACAATTGGTTAGGCTACATATTATAAGCTTAATTCACTGACTCAAACCCCTCAAGAAAATGCAAACAATAAAAAGTGGTGCAAGTTTATTCTTTAAATAAAAGCTTTGTTTATCCAAAGCTACAAGAGAGGGGTCAGTGAGAAACTGTACTAGCATCATGGATCCTTCTTTTGTGTTGCAGGTACTTGTATGAGCGGATAGATGGACGTGTTCGCGGGAACCTGCGGCAGGCTGCCATCGATCGCTTCAGTAAGCCCGACTCAGACCGCTTTGTTTTCCTTCTGTGTACGAGAGCTGGTGGCCTGGGAATCAACCTCACAGCAGCAGACACCTGCATCATCTTTGACTCTGACTGGAACCCGCAGAATGACCTGCAGGTACTACACACACCCTGGCTGCAATGTAGCGCTGTGGATCTGTGCATTGTAGAATGTTGGCACGCTATCAGTTATCACTTTGTCAGACATCTGCTCATGCAAACACCTGCCAAAAAGGCACATTACCATGGAAAGTGCCTCAAACAGCATCCAATCAAGAATCATGGTGTAAATCTTAGTGAAAATAAGTCACCATTAAATCTTTCATTTTGATCCATTGCTGTAAAGCAGGTGCCATTTGGGTGAAACAGCAGATCATGAAGGAAAGGCTTCTCTTTGTATTCTATGCCTAATGAACCTTACTCAGATTTTTTTTCTGTCTGGCGCAGGCCCAGGCTCGCTGCCATCGGATCGGACAGAACAAGGCTGTGAAAGTGTACCGTCTGATCACCAGGAACTCATACGAGCGGGAAATGTTCGATCGTGCCAGCCTCAAGCTTGGACTGGACAAAGCAGTGTTGCAGAGCATGAGTGGCCGAGATAACAGCCTGGGAGGAGGTGCCGGGGGAGGGGTATGTTTGAGAATTGTCCAATGCATGTGTCCTTGGCTGGACATGAAAATTTTCACTTCAACTATCATCAACTTTTTGCACAAAAGAACAGGAACAGCACAAGCCTTATGTGGCACTGGGATCATTGTTTTATTCTAAGAAAACTGGACTCCTTGTTCATGTTTTCTTCTTAATGTACCCCTGTCATACACACTTAACACACATGCA